TAGCATGAGGTTTCAGATTGGATTGTGTACATGAGTGAGTAACAACAACCATGATCTCTAAAAACAAACTTGTGTTGAGAATGTTTTATATTTTTTTTAAGAACCATAATTAAGAGACTTGCAATAAACCATTTAAATGTTCAAATCTCTTTTTAAATCTCTTAACTCACTTTTACTCTTTAAAAATTATTAAAAATCAGTTAAGAGATCTTTTAAGGGGTTTAGGAATAATGATGCTCTTACTACCAACTAATTTAGAGTTGGAAACCGGTAAAACTGTACATGATTATTTTAAATTTCGTTCTCTCATATACTTGTGGTATATTGTATCTTAATGATCAATGTTAACCGAATCCAAATTCCTACAGACAATGCAGACCCTGGGGTAAATCTGGTAAAGCACCATCTTTAGTTGCCACAAATATGTATACATAGTTAGGGGCAACCATTTCCAGAAAACCGATTGTGGTTTAGTGGCTGTTAGTGACTTCGTATGTCTGTCTCGCCCTGGCTTAGAACCTTCATGTCACATTTTGTTAATATGTTGTGTATATGGGCCAAGTTTCTTTTGCTTTAGGCGCCCAGACATAAAGGACCGACCTGCCTACAAATTTTACTGATAACTAAGAAAGACTATAGTTTGATTTTAGGCTTTTAAGAAAATTTGACCTTGGATTGGCATTGGAGTGAAGTAGTAGGAAACGTTAGCAGATACACCATGATTAACAGCTTGCTTTCTCTAGCCTTATCATGAATTTTTAAAATCTCAGCAGCAAATTTTTCCAAAATATGTGTTAGGTAGAAATTTAAAATTAAAATAAGACCTTAGTTTCAGTTTATGAATTGTCTCGCAAATGAGGACCTCAAAAGCAATGGTAATCTTATTTTTATGTTAAGATCCAAGACATTACGCTTAGAAATATTGCATAGCCATTGACAAGATCCTACTGAGCTTAATCAAACTCCACATACCACAATTTTAGAGAGAATATCTTTAAAAATGGATCAAAAAAAGATATTTAATTTACTATGGTAATCAGATTCCACTTCTTAGAGAGAACTTTTACGTTCATAGACTCATTTTCCGAAAGAATAGACCTAATGTGGTAGATTGCGTAATACTTCTGTAAAATCCTTGACAACTCTTTACTCGATATTAAGTATAACTTTGAATGGATGGTTTTTGTCATAATCTATATAATTCTCCTGATATAAATTTTGACTCACGGATAATGTGATTTATCATCAATTATGTATATTAATGGAAAAAAAGTTTACATAAAATCTTGGTACTGTACAAGCAGAACCTTTATATGTGGATCTTCATGAGCCGGCCCAGCATGGTGCAATGGTGAAAAATATGGCTCAGTGTGGTTCACGTAGAACAGCCAGACATGATTCTTCATAAAATATGTATATTTATTGGTTGTAGAATGGCATAATATTTTGATAATATAAATCAAGGTTAGAAAACTTTAATTATTTCTCTCAGACAAACAAACCAAGTGGGCCTTCTTCCAAAATAGTCCAGTTGACAAGTATAATAACGTAAAAGTGCTCTTAAATATTACGGCCTAATAATACGCTGTTTGGAGGAGAGCGTACCAAATTTATAGTGGATTTCACAATGCACCGCCATTAATACGTGGTCGATGATCATTTTATCAACGTCATTATACATGTCAGCTTTGGGCTCTTTTAAAATAGAGAAATTTGCCAAAAGAGGACTAAAAACACAACTATTGTCCCCTTAGAATAAATTTCATGATTCATGTTCCCTTAGAATAAACTATAATGAAAATCCAATTTAGTCCTTAGTATTTAATGCAACTTTTGTATTTTCTTATTAATCACAAAGCCGATATATATTTATAGTATGAGAAAATTAACAATGAATGACAATGACTCTGTTGGTAAACTACCTCTACTTTGACCTTCTAAACCTGGGTTCAAGCCTCCGGGTATGCAAGTATTTTTTTTTAATTCGAAGCTCTGGATATTTATTATTTGAATCTTTGTACTTTGTTAGAAAGAAATACTATTTTATAATTTTGCAGATTTTAAAGTTAATAAAATAATAAAATGTAAATGTTATATAGTAATCATCTTTTGAAAAGAACAAAAATCATGTTACAAAAATCTTGGTAAATCCATACCATAGACCTTCTAAACCTGGGTTCAAGCCTCCGGGTATGCAAGTATTTTTTTTTAATTCGAAGCTCTGGATATTGATTATTTGAATCTTTGTACTTTGTTAGAAAGAAATACTATTTTATAATTTTGCAGATTTTAAAGTTAATAAAATAATAAAATGTAAATGTTATATAGTAATCATCTTTTGAAAAGAACAAAAATCATGTTACAAAAATCTTGGTAAATCCATACCATAAACAATAATGGAACCCTAAACCCTGCATGAGTAAAGAAATAAGATAAACTATACCCTAAACTCCTATCTCTTATTTGAATCTTTGTACTTTGTTAGAAAGAAATACTATTTTATAATTTTGCAGATTTTAAAGTTAATAAAATAATAAAATGTAAATGTTATATAGTATCTTTTAAAAGAACAAAAATCATGTTACAAAAATCTTGGTAAATCCATAGCCTAAACAATAATGAAACCCTAAACCAATAATGAAACCCTAAACAAGAAGAACAAAAATCATGTTACGTATATTATCTACCCTAATTTGGCCACTTTTCCTCATCGTCTTTCTTTCTTCTTTTCGAAAAATATGGCGAACATGAACAACATTGAAGTAATCCCTCGCAGATGCTGGTGTGGGAGGGGGATTGTCACTTACGTTTCAAAAACATATGAGAATCATACCGACGGTTCTTCAGATGTGAGATTGCTTTACAGGTAAATGTCATATATAAATACTTATCAATTCTTCTGTGTTGAGACTTAATTTGTTTTCTGTTCCAAATCAGAGAAAAAAAGAGCAACATCTTTTTAAGTGGGTGGATGAGGCTCTGTATGAAGAGATTCAAAAGATGGATGACCATCAAGCGTTCATGGCANAAAAAGAGCAACATCTTTTTAAGTGGGTGGATGAGGCTCTGTATGAAGAGATTCAAAAGATGGATGACCATCAAGCGTTCATGGCAGAAGAAATTGAAGATCTGCGTGTTTCGTTGAAGATGGTGGAAGAAGAAGTTATGAAGCATAAAGCCTCTCGAGATGTTGGTTGTGTAGGATCCATTCTCAGTATTTTATGTCTATGTTCCAAATTTGATTGATATTTTGTAATGTTTTTCTATTTCTATCTACATTGAATAAGAACAAGTAATGGATTTCTAGTGTTATTGACATATTTCAAAGACATCTAAATTCAATATAAATCAAAAACACTGCTAAAATCAACATGAAACGGATCATGAATATGAAAGATAACTTGCACAAAAACAAAAAACAGAGGTTTATGCATAAAAAGATGTTAGAAAGTTTTTGAGTTAGGCGATTCAGTAGTCCCTTCTTCATTCAAGTCAAATTCGACGTTGATATTCCTTGTATCCACCTTAGATCGAACACACACACATAACCGCGTAGAAGCTCTGATCTTCAGATATGTTAGAAAGTTTTTTGAGTTTCCTATCATTTGTGATGAAAACAGGTGGCGAGTTGATGCTATTCATCAAATCTGAAGGTAAGTAACTCAACTCGATATTGACCATGTCTAGATCAATTCCAAAGTCTTCACACACGATCAACTTCAGGTGTTCAAAAGATGAACTTGTGTCCACAGTTTGTAACCTACCTCCTTTTCCTTCATCAACAACAAATCGCCATCCATTGCTTANGATGAACTTGTGTCCACAGTTTGTAACCTACCTCCTTTTCCTTCATCAACAACAAATCGCCATCCATTGCTTACAGACGAGTTCCACGAACCACATGAAGTATACATGTGCATCTTCATTGTTAGATAGCTTGGAAGTGGAAGAACTAGAAGAATAGAAGAGGTTTTTCACGGTGAGAAGAAGAAGAAGACCCACGTTCGAGGCAAAATATATTAAAAAGGAAATAAAAATATTTAGCGAATATTTACTTTCAGATTTTGCTAGATTTTCGGATGGTGGCTCATAAACCGTTGGTAGAAGATACATTCTACCAAATTTTCCATTAGTTTAACCAGTGGAAACGTAATCCCACGAGCGTAGACAAAACATTAAAATTAAGAAGATATGTTCTGCCAAGGTAGACGCATGAGTCTTTATTATATGCTATATTCTACTGAAACTGCATAACAAAGAAGGAATGCCAGTTATCATATTCTTCAATCGTAGATGTATATGTTTTTGGTGTATTACGCATTCTAAGCCCTTTAGATGGATTAGTTGTTAGTAGATTGTACACTCTGAACCGCCGTAGATGGTAGATCTGATTTACTACCCGATTTATCCAATTTTGAAATTACTATTCCAAACATTTTTTGAATGTAAAAATATTTTTCATGTATTCACATGCTACTCTATTTCATATTGTATATTTTTCCTCAATTTTTTACCTTGAAAATTTTTTACTTTGAATTTTTATATACAAAAAGGGTAGTGAATGTCCAAAAGTACCAAAATTTGATTTTATTCTAAGGGGACAATAGTTGTGTTTTTCGGTCCTCTTTTGGCAAATTTCCCTTTAAAAAAAAGCCCTGTATTGTTTACTTGAGAGGAACTTAGAGCATCCGCAACGAAAGTCCTTAGAAAGGAGTTCTTAGAAAAAAAATAATTAAATAATCGGTAGACTCTACAAAAAGTTAAGGATTCGATCCTTAAAATCGCTATATAAGGACTGTTTCTTAGCGAATCCTTACACTATTTGCGGGTCTCCAGAACACGTGGCAACCCACGAATGGTCATTTTTTTTTTCTTTTTTAAAAAAGAACACTCTGAAATATCCTTAATAAATCCGAAATACTTATTTTTAAGGACTCATATGAGTCTCACGGTTGTGTATGCTCTTAGAAGCACTCAGACCACAGTCAACAGTTGTTTGTTTATCTATAGCAGTATCTCGCGATTAGTTATGTAGCATCCCGCAGGTAGTTGCAGCAATCAATCGCAAATTGCAGAAAAAATAAAACTAAAATTGGTAAAATTTTCCATGAATTAGCTATCTGCAATTAGTCACTGTGATCACACGTCAACAAAACAAATAATAAACTGTGAACATCGTAGGTCTACGGTTGCAGTAACATGTAAACAAACATATCTTCCACGGATAATGACAAGAAAAAAAAAATCATTCTAAGGTATAATCGATACAGAGAAGGGTTCTCTAGGACTTTGCAAACGTATCGATAGAATCGACAATCTACCAAATGAGATTCTTTGCAATGTTAGGTCCTTTTTTGGGCAAAATGAGTCTTGGTGAGCAAAAACTCTCTCTAATAACTGGATGAATCTGATTACCATCATACACTATGTTGTTTTTTTACAATTTGAATTTAATGACTATACATACATCCTAGTGACTTTCCCAGCCTAATATAAGAACCATTCTTCGATTTTATTATGATTATTATCCAAAGAAAAACATTGATCCATTATAAAACCTAAAGAACTAAAATTCATTACCAAATCAAGGTTAACATATATTTAAGGGAAACAATCATTTGAACAGACTCATAACCATAAAGCTCCAACGTCCTTAAGAATTGGAACCAACTCACCGGAGATATGAGTTGACATAACCCTATCTAAACCTCCAAACAACCTCCCTCCTATATAAACCGCCGGCAATTTCACCGTTTCTCTGCCGCCTTCAACGCTAATCTTCTCTAGCTCACTCATAACTTCCTCTTCCTTCTCCTCATCCATCTCAAGAACCGCCGGATTGACTCCAAGTCCAAGAAGCAGGCTCTTGACAACGTGGCACATACAGCATCCTCTCCGTCCAATCACGATCAGTGCGTTCTCCTCCACCAACGTAAGAACACTACTCTCGCCGGTTTCTTGTGTTTTAAGCGGCAGCGGCCGAAGAGATTCCGCGGCAGAGACCGTATTATAATGCCTTGTACAAGAAATCGTTCCTTGCATTGTTCAAAAAAATGATTAAAAGAGGTAGACTAGGAAGGGGAAGGTTTTGTCACATATATACGAAGAAGAGTGTATGGAGGAAAGTTTAGCGTCAACGATCGTTACGTGAGGATGTACGTCATAGCAAATGGTGAGTGATGTTGTTTTACGTCATTGGATAGGAGTGGACTTAGTCATAGGACCGTGTCTTATTACCGTGTCACATGATTCATGCTGACTTTGTTTACATCCCACTCTATTATTCTAATCAGAACCAGCACGTTTTTTTAATTTCTTTTGTTTCCTTTCTACGTGTTGGGTATTACCCACATAGATTTCGTATCAGTACATAAATGGAAAATTACTATTTCTTTATAATTATTTTCCTTGTTAGACGGTTGTATTTTTATATAATAGAAAGTTGATTACTCGGAATGCTGATTTCGCATGTGACCACGTAGTCGTAGACTAGTAGTGGATACTTACCGACCAATCACGTGACTATTTATAAAATTTGGTAATCTAGTTATTATTTTTGTTTTAATTTGGAAGTTTAAGAGTCAGGCCATGCATCATCTCCTAGGTCAGAATTTTTTTTTTTTGATAAATATCTCCTAGGTCAGAATTGGATCAGAGTTCAATTTATTATCTTTCTAAACAGGAAATCAAACTCGTGCCCTTTTAGATAGCTACATTTTCTACTAGCCCAACCCATTATTGGTAGTCTAACAATATTATTACAGGATTTCCAAATACAGAGAGTAGAGAAAGATCTAGTTTAAATATTTTCACTTTCTTTATTTATTTTGCTATTTGATTCTGAATTAAAATCAATAATTTAATATTCCCCTGAGTTTAAACATTGAGCTTGCAATCTGAAAAATACGTATAGGTCTAAGACGGAAACATTCTGGATGGTCGAATTTCCAAACAAAATTTGAACACTTGATATAATTTTGCTAAGTGAATTTTCAAGTTAATGTAATATTTTTTTTTGTTCAATAGAGTAATATTAGTAGTCTGAGTTTCCGCATAGTTGAGGAGTCTTATTAATGCACACAAGAAAATGAAAAATAAGAAAGATCCCCACAAAGAATTATCTTTAATGGATGGACGGTGGAAAAGGTCGGTATAAGTTAGCACCAAGCCATCAACTTATTGCATTATAATTGTAACTAGGTGATTTTCCCGTGCTCATGCACGGATATGAATATTCATAAAATTAAAATTTAATAATAATTGATTGATATTTATTTTTAGTTTTGAATCAATTTATATGTATAATCTATATTAATAAATATTATATTATTCTAATTATACATATGACTTTATATATTATTATTGGTTTAATTATTTTTAGATCAATAGTTAGTTTGGTTATCAATTTTGTATATTTGCTAATATCTATTTTTCGAGTTCATCTATAATATTTTTTATTCTAAATATAATAAAATTTTGATTAATTTTCTTATTTTCATTTCGGTTGGTTATTGTCTTTAGATATGTAAATATATTCTTAGATATGTAAATATATTATAGTTAAATTATGTATAACTTAATATATATTGCGCTTAAAATGAAATAAATAATAAGCTGAAGTGTTTGATTCAAAATTACATAAATGAATATAATGATAATAATTTGAAGTCTCATGTATATATATAAATTCTAAAAAGAATTAAATTGTAATTGGTTAGTATTTTATTTTTCTTTTCAATATGCTTTGAGTCAACCTCTAATTTATATGTATAAAATTAAATAGATTATTATTATTATTATTATAAAATTATATGTTCTTATTGTAGTTAGATGTTTAATTTGGATATAAATTATATTAGTCGAGTCATTCCTTTTGTGAGTATATTGAGTTAAATATATTTTTAAATTATAATTAAAGTATAATTATTTTGTATTTTAGTTAATTCAAGTCAAAATAGTTATACTTATCTCTTAAATATACATGTATTTTCATAATATTTATTTACTCTTTATTTTAGTTAAATCAAATCAAATTAGTTTTATTTATCGCTTGGATATACATGTATTTTCATAATATTTATTTACTCTACATTTTAGTTAAATCAAATCAAATTAGTTTTATTTATCGCTTAGATATACATGTATTTTCATAATATTTATCAAATTATATGTTAATTTCTAAAAACTATTAGAAAATAAAGTGTAACTGATAAATTTTTAGATGTTCATGAACATATATATTTTTATTATTTTGAAAATATATTTTTATGTTATTTAAAAATATATATTAATGGGAGTATTACTATTTGTGAACTTTCCTTTTTAATAAAGTCATATTATATACATATATTTTCGTTTTTAAATTTGTTTTCAAATTTTAGAAATATTTTCTTTTTATTATATATGTTATTTGGAAAAAGTTTAAAAAAAAACTAAATTTAAAATCTAATAATTCATTAAGGGTATCTATGTAATCAACCATCGCGAGAGTTAACTTGAGCGCGACACGTAGGAAACTGACTTCTCAAATAATATTATAGAGATGGTATACTGACGTCATTCCGGTTTTTATGTGAAGAGCGTTATTTGTGTTACGATATGGTTAAAGCCAATGGAAAATATCGGCTCAAAATTGTGCGAGCGTTGAAGTTTCGTCAAATTGTTTCTTAGGATAGGAATTTTTTCTAAATCCACAAACAAATTTCCTCCACTTGATTCTATTTGCAGTTTGAAGATCGGTGCACGGTTACTATCATCAGTGCCAGTCCTGAGATATTCAGGGTACAATACAAAATATAAAAATGAGACCCTTAAATAATATCTAAAAAAAAATCGATAAAAACTCAAGTTTATAAAAAAAATTACAATATCCTCAAAACTTGCAAAAACTTATCTGTTCTTAAATATAGATCTTCTTGCATTTTTTCCTGCAAAATCATCCATCAAACTTTCGTAATCAAGACTTTTGATCATATCCTTTTCAGTCGACAACATAACCAAACCATTTAATCTTTCTTGTGACATAGTTGACCGTAAGTAAGACTTCATCAACTTCACCTTTGAGAAGCTTTTTTCAGCTGAGGCAACTGAAACTGGGATTGTAAACATTACTATGTAAGCAATCCATAAATTTGGATAACCATTCTTGTACCTTCTCAAAAAATTTAGTATATCGACACTCTTCTTGATATCTTCTGGTAGAACTTCTCGAAAAAGCTTGATTTCAGAAAATAAATCATTTCCATCGACATCAGAATGCTCTCCATGCCTACGAGAATCTTCAAGGTTGCTACATGATATCTTCAAGCTATCATCATTCAATGAGTTGAGCTTCCTCAGATCAAACAAAAAACAAAAGTTTTCTCATACTCTTGAAATTGTTCTAACCTTGTTTGAAAAGACACTAGAACTTGATCCATGATTTTGATGAAATAATCTATTCTGAAACTCTCTTCCTCGCTCAGGACCACACTGTCACCAACAACTTGGCTCGACTCTTCACCAAAATGTGTTTTCTTTTTAATAAATCGCTTCTTTTTCACATGAAAAATAGGTTCAATATCCATAACAACTGCAATTTTTTTGGCTTCAGCTTTGGCTTCTTCAAAACCTGTCTCTCTATACTTTTGGAAAAAAAGAGATTAATCCCTTTAGCTGAGTTATAGCAGCATCAATATCAATATCTTCAGCCTGCAAAGTCTTGCTTGCAATATTAATGGCAGCGAAAATCTCATACCATATAACCATACCAAACAAAAACTCAAATCCTCCGATTCCGTGTGTTTCACTTACTGCAAGACATTCAGCATTACTCCGGGTCTGAGGATCATCACTAGTTCTGCCAAGTAAAGTAGAGCATCTTGAATTTTTGGAGCTTGAAAACGTATTGCTTTAATACTCTCAATGTGACTTTCCCAAAGAGTATCTTATAAAGGTTTAAGTGTAGGACCTCCTACCATTTTTTTATATATATCCCACCTAGTCGTAGAAGGTGAAAATAAATTATATAAACGCTGGATGATCCCAAAGAAATCAATCGCTTTGTCAGACGGCTTAGCCATATCACAAAGTGCCAAATTCAGATTGTGACAGCCACATGGTGTATAAAAAGCTCTTGGATTAACATCAAGCAATCTTTTTTGCACACCTTTGTTTTTACCTTTCATATTTGAGCCATTGTCGTAGTCTTGTCCCCTCACATCATCAATGTCCAAATTAAGATCAACCAGCGTGTCACAAAGTAGATCAAACAGTCCTTTCCCTGATTTATCATCAACTTCCAAAAAGTGGATAAAATATTCTTCGACTTGAGATGAGTCTACTGAGACATCCACACATCGAATAACAAGAGACATCTGCTCTTTGTGACTAATATCTGGAGTACAGTCAAGTATGACAGAGAAATACTTAGCATCTCGAATCTTCTTAATGATCATTAGCTTCATCTCAGATCCCAACATTGATATTATTTCATTCTGAATTTTATGGCTGAGATAGTAATAATGAGTTTCTCCTCCTTTAATTCGCCTGATGTGCTCTTAGATAAATGGATCAGTGTCTCCAAGCATTTCAATAAAGCCAAGAAAATTTCCATTGTTATCCTGACCAATTTTGTCATTGCTTCCACGAAATGCTATATTGCATTTAGCCATAGTCTTCACTAGTGAAAACAATCTCAATAAAACTTCTCTCCAATGCTTTTTTTTTCTTTTTTGATCTCTTCTTGGACATGCTTGTCGATTGTTAGATTTTTTTGCAATCTCAACTCTAATTCTATCCAATGACTCATGCACTTGACGTGACAATGACTACTTTCATGTTGGCTAAGCCTTAACTGAACATTGTTCCAATCTTTGAATCCTTTCCAATCTTTGAATCATGTACTAGCCAACTGAGTAGTATCGTTGTCCCCTCCAAACAACTTGCAGCAAAAACAATAAATTTTCTCTGATTTTTTTGAATAAACCAGCCATTGTCGATCTTGTGTACCCCCATTCTTCATATGTCTTTTGTAGAGTTTATGAGAGAAGTGTCTACCAAGAGTGTTTTTAAGAAAAGTATAATCATGAGATGGCCTTGCTAGAGGACCTTTACTAACC